GAAATGTAACATTTGGGATCCAAATTTGTTTCTAACATTAAAATCTATAATACTTTAAAATTTATATTAAAAAAGGTAAGCATCTAAAAAACATTTCTGTTGGAATGATTTTTGTATTAAGACACCAAAGATTTTTTCCATCAAAAACAATTTTACCATTTAGCAAGTAGATATTTTGCATACTTTAAACATGCAAACTTTCATATTAAATGTGCATATTGAGTTTTGTGTTAAGATTATTGCTAATAATAGTCCTAAAAAGGAAAAGAGTTGAAGCATCAACTCTTGATAGTTTCAGCAAAATTAGGTTGGTGGGAGTGAAAGAATTCCCCATTTAAATGAAATGTTTGCTCTCCAATTTTCTGCAAAAAAATTCTTTACTAACAGAATGAAAAGTGATAAAAATTATTTCTGTCAAATCTTTCAAAGCATTTAAGTCTGTATAATCTTACTCTATTTTTACCTACAGGAATTGTTTAATTGACCAATTCAACTGCTCTTTCAGGCTGTATTGACAAAAACAATCATTACAGTATTAAAAAAGAAAAATCCCCAGAGGAAATTAAACAAAACCACAGATTCTTGTAAGAATTAAGAGCAGTTTGTCATGAATCCAAACAAGTTACATGACTGGTAATCATAATTTTAAAATGAAAACAAACAACTCATAAGAATACATTAAAATTTACACAAAATCCTTTTCAACAAAAAGGAAATGGAATAACAAAAAAAAGGATCTAAAATAGTGCAACATAACAAGTCTTAAAACCTGAAAACAAAATAGATAGAAAACTGTGTGTGTGTGTGTATGTATGTAAAACTGTAAGAGTAACATTAAATAAATGCAGTTTTATTATTTATATTTACCAGCATTTCACTTAAGTGAGATAACTAATTTGTATATTCAACTTTACAAAGTGTTTTTCAATGTGTATCTTTTGTAAAGAATATAATGTGTGATGGTTTTCTTGAAAGATTTAGATTTCTTAGCCATTTTCTACTCTGAAAGTGGTAATGACCTGAGCATTTAGATCACAGCTTGGTAGTAAAAGGAAGTAAATATTTTTCAAACAGAAAACATTTAAAATTTTTAAAACTATTTTGAAAATCAAACATGACAGAGTGCATATGAAATAAAAATGTCTACCAAAATGTTTGGTGCTGTTATGGTTTTTGCACCCATTCAATTCAAAACATATTTACTTTGCACACATTAAAATTCGAATTATGACATTTAAATGGGACACCTGGAAACTATTTTCCATTAAGAAAACAAACAAATTTTTGGAGGTACCTCAAAAAAAATATGGTAAATTTGCAGATAATGCCCCAATGACCAATTTTTTTAAAAAAATGCATTATTCCTGGTGTAAAAAAGACTGATTATTACAAAAATAGCAATAAAAATTGAGGAAATTACCATTTAGGAGATATTGTTAGTTGATCTTAGTTGGGTCCGGGTACAGCCTGACCGCCATCTGAAGCAATAATTTGCTCGATTTATGTTCCTCGGGTCAATCCCTCACCATACCGAGTGCCTTCACAGATTCCTGAATGAAGCGGCCAGGACCCGGGACTCGCTTTTTTGGGTTTTTTTTTTTCCTCCTTTAGTTTAGTTTAACACCAGGAATAATGCTTTTTTTTTTTCTTTTTTTTTTTTTTTAAATTGGTCACTGGGACATTAGTGAAAATTTAAATTTAATACAAATTCAAGATTCAAGAATCAATATTGTTAAACGGGAATAAATCCTTATAAATCCGTGGAGATTTGATGCCAAAATGATAAAATATTAAAATAAATCTTTGAAGCTTTTTTAATTGCACATAAAACACTGGAAAGTATATCACGATTTATTAGTCTACACATTGCTTTGATTTTTATTTGCCACATTGGTTCCACGCAATTTGTGGTTGGGAATACAAATGTAACAGCAACAAAAAATGTTTAAAAATTTATTAAACTGCTTTAATTACGACGATTTCTTTAAGTTAGAGAGACTTGTTAAAGAAACGAGTGTACAATGCAGCAGAACAAAGAAAAAAGAGACTTGTCCTCTCTTAAAGCCGCCGGGTATTATTGCTTCTTAAAATCGAGGCCAAACCTCCAGAATGAAGAGAATAGAGAGGCAAACAAAACCATTTTTACACAGAAGAGGGGGGCATTTAAAAATGCTTGCGTACGTGACACGTGTTATGGATGAGGACCAAAAAACTGGAGAAGTTTGTTTCATTTTAGAAACTTTAAAGTCAAAATCGCTAACAACATTTATTTATCGATTTATTTTATGTCATTTTTGTCAATGTTGCGCCGAGTTCAGGGTGACCAAAACGGTGATGTCATCATTTTGTTGAAAAAGAAAAAAGTTTTTAAATTCCATTTCATTTGGAAATGTCAAGCAAGTCTGTTATCCTGCTAAAAATCTGTACCCCCAAGGACAAAACAATTATTGTCATGTGACAAGATTCCAAACAAAAAATGGACATGCATTTTGTCCTGTGAGTGAAAGTGAAAAATTAAAAAGATAAATTACATTCAGGAGGGGGGGAGACGGGGGGGCAAAGCACCAGAAACATAAGAATTTTGTTAAGGTCCGGAAATGGAGATCCTACTTAAATCGAGTGGAAAATAAACTCAATTTGTGTTCCAGGCTCTCTCTCTCTATATATATATATATATATACACACACGTTCAATTTCTGGCCGGTTTTCACAGCAAACGGAAGAGAAGTACGCATGCGCAATCAAGCGGCAACATGGCGGTTTAAAATTTCACATTTTGCCAGCAACCAGCGAAATCAGAGGTAAAAAAAAGGAATTTAAATTTTGTAAAGTTGAAATTACATAGCTTTGTAACGAAGATAAACCTTCAAAGAATTTTAAGAGTAGTCATGTCTTACAAAAAGACAAAAATAAAAAAAAGTCCTTCCAACCAAATGAATTCACTGTCAGAAAAATCGAGATAGGAAAAAAATATTTAGACTAGAGAAAGAAAAATATTTAATTACTTTTTAATGTATAAGTAAGTATACTTGCTGTAGTGTAGTGTAAATTGTTAAGAATTGTTATTTGGTGTAAAGTAAAATATTATTGCGAATAAATATCTTCTTGCGATAAAGAGAGGAGAGGAAAAAAAAGGTTTAAAATTGTTCAAATGTTATTGTTTAATTTATTAATCTAACTAAAATAAAGTTTTCTCTCCCCCCCCCACAACCACCAAAACATACTTTTTTTTGTTGCTGATGAAGAAAAATTAATTTTAAAAAAATAAAATAAAAATCCCTTTTACAAAAGTCCCTGGATACAGAGATTTGACATATTTTAATTATTACTATAAGAAAATTAAAAATGTAATTTTTGTGGGAAAAAAATTTTTGTTATATACATGTCAATGATCAAGTGCCCGTCAATAACCTTTCTTTTTCGATCTAAGTCGACCAAAGAGGACAACAGTTATCAAACAACGAAGGACGATTAGGACAAGTATTTGAGGATTTTTTTAAAGTAATCGTAAACATTTTAGCAACTGAAATTAAGTTAATTATTTAAATATTTTCTAAAACATTAGAAAGTAAATCTTGTTTAAGAAGGTTCTCCGCGACCAATTTTTTTTTTTTTTTTTTTTCCACAGTACACTTATTTTTATTCATTTTTTAATCAAGTTTAGCAAAATTATAAGTAAAGTATCCAAGATTTAACATTGTCAAATTTTATATATTTTTCTTAACAAAAATCGTTCTCTTGTTGGCAGATAGATGCACGATATAAATTTAATTATTTTTATGTCCATAGCGTTTAATTGCTAATTCTATAGAAAAGGGGGGGGATTACAAATGGATGGTAAAAGCTTATGTAAGCGGTTAAAAATACTTTTTTAAAAAATTAAAATAAAGACAGCCAGAGTGATAGTCAAAAATTGAAAAGATCAATTGGAAAACATTAAAAAAATAAATAAAAGCAAAATAAAATTTTAATCTTACTTTTTTTTTAACGATGCGTTTATTATTTAACACAGTTACGGTAAAAAAAAAAAAAAAAAAAATAATGTTTAATTTTAAGCGATTGTTAACCGACACAATTGCAGAGTTAAGAGCACGTTGATTTTAGTTTAGGGATTTGGGGGAGGGGTAAAAAAAAACAAAAAAAATAAAATTTGTCGACGGAAAATTACAGATTTTTGATCGATCAAAACTAATTATTTTTTTTTCTTAATTTCTATATTAAAGATGAAATCGTTTCAAAAGACGTTAAAATTCATTTGACCGTAAGTGGTATTTAAATGAATGCTTATTAGTACTACACAGCTTTCTTACATCATGAATGAAAGACGAAAAAAAAGGATGAATGACATGACATTAAAATTTAAATAAATAATGAATGCCGCCAGGTGCTCTTTTGAATGAGATTGTAAGAAAAAGAATAATCATATTTTTGTCAATTTTTTTTCTCTTTAAGTTGGTTTGATTGGCAAAGAGACTTACTTTATTCTGGCCCAAGACTGGCATTCGTAGCTCCAATGTCAAGGGAGGAAAAAAAAAAAGAGAGAGGAAGGAGAAAAGAAGAAGACGGATTCTCGGTGCCTATTGCCGACACGATGTGTAAAAGCGCTTTTCAGCGAAAGAAGCTGATAAACCAATCAGAATCCAGTTAGAAGTCACGTGACACCTGAAATCCTCTCCGTTCAGCAGTACCGGCGAGAAATAGAAAGACTAAGAGATAAGAGAGAGAGACAGACAAACAAACCTCCTCCCCTTCTTTCTCTCTTGTTGCATACATGTTATCAATTGTTCCCCCACCTCCGTTTATTTTTATTAGTTAATCTATTTTTGTATCACCCCCTACCCTCTGTAGGTTTCTCCTTCTCTGTGGCGTGGACTTATTAGCCTGTCAGGCAGTACGAGGACTCTCTTTCTAGACCCCCCCACCCCTCATATCTCTGGTAGTAGAACTTGTCTCTTTCACTTCGCACACGCAGACCGAAAAGCCAGTCGATCCTCCTAAGCATGGCGAAAGTCGTAGCAGCAGCCGTTTCTAAATTTCTTGTTCGTTCACCTCATCTTCAGAATCTGGTTGCTCCAGCTTCCTTGAATATACAACAACGACGAAACTGTGAGTAGATTATATTTAAAAAAAAAAGTAAAATACGATTAAAATTTAATTTCATCTTGTGAAATTCCTCCATTGTCCTTCAAGTCCGTTTTTTTACGGCAGAGTTTAAAAAACAATAAATGACTGACTTAATTAAAACTACCCCCCCAACCAATTTCAGAGTCGAATAAACTTCGATTTCAATTTATAGAATTTAAAAAAAAAAAAAAACTACGGAAATATGAAATTGTCTTACAAATTGCGAAACGATATTTATTTAAAAAATCTCTCTTCCATTTGAAAATCTTTGCGGCTTTTTGACGTCCCCCCCCCCGATGACGTAATGCCGGTGCGATTGAAAAATCTTCACGCCACGATTCTTTGTAGTCAATAATTTTATTAAGGAATCAAGGCTGAGTGTTATATGTAGCAGGCGAAATTGATTTGTCGAAATTCACGATCTTTTAACAGCGCTTCTTATTGGAAGAAAGAAAGAATCACTTGATATGTACCTTAACTTTTGCACGGACGTATAAGGAGAGAGGCTTTCCTTTTTTAAATATGAAACGAGTTTTTCTCTCGTTTTTAAACCTTTAGATTTAATTTCTCTTTGAAAAATAATTTTTTTTCACCATCTTTTTTTATGTTAATTATGGAAACCTGCCTTATTGCTAATTTTTTTAAAAATTATAACAACCATTTTAAATCGAACGAAAGTGACAATCTTTGTACGATTTTGTTTGCCTATTGCTTTCCTTCTCAGATATTTTTAATATTCATGAACCCTACTAAAATTATTGAAGTAATTTTTAAGTCTAATTTTCCAAGCTAAATTCCGGAAATATTCGTCATTCTAAAAACGGTCATTGGTCATAAAAAGTAAAAAAAAAAATGAAATTGGAGTATGCAAAGAAAAAGAACCAAGTTTTTTTTTTCTATGTAACAAGGTCGTTCTTTTCTTTCAGGTTGAAACTGCTAGTTTCAATTTTCATGCAGTCTTTCACTAAAATTCATTAATTTCTATCCCCCCACCCTCCATTGTTTCTCCTGTCTCAAATTAAGGACACGTGTCCATACACACCAATATTAGCAGTTCGCGCCTTTTCTCCAAGTTTGAACACTGTGTTCCTGAAGCGTACTCTACAATCTAATTGCGACCAGGTCGCTCGTAATTTTCCATAATTAAAATTAGTACGCTTCTAGTCCTCAAAAGTAAAAAGGAAATGACGTTTTATATAATTTAAATTTAAAATAGTCTAAATTGCAATAAGTTACAAAAGTCGGTGCTATCACCTTTTTGCTCCTTTATTAAACTTTAAAAATAAATGAAATATGCATTATTTTCGCTTTAAATACCCCAAAAGCAGCCCAACACTATCGGGTTTTTTAAATTTTTTTTTTTATATAGAATTTCACAGGGAAATTTATCTCCTAAACGGCAATCGTTTTTTTTTTTTTTTAATACGATTGAATAGTGTGTGTTCTGTCCTGCAAATATTGTATTTATTTTCCATTTCATCAACAAACAAAAAATTTACTGGTTAAAAAAGTGTCCTGTTTTGTGCTTAAAGACTTAATTTATGGCCTAGTTTTTCTAAATGGAGCTCTTAAAAAGAATGATAGTCATTCTCCAATAATCATGTTTTTTTTTTTTTTTTTAATATATATTCAAAGATCTGAAACTTCGAACCTCACATTTTAGTCAAGTGTGGTCACCTGCAATTATATTATATATATATATATATATATATATATATATATATATATATATATATATATCGTGACACGTGTAGAGACTTAGGGTTAATTCAGCCGCTTTAAAAAAGGTGCGACAAAGTTCTCATCTATTGAGATGGTTTCATTTATAACAAATTTAGTTAGAAGAATGAGACTTTTTTGTCTATTTATATAGGTAATACTAGTAATAATAATGGATACTGACTTTATCTGTATTGAAAAGCAATGTTTAAAATCTAATTTTGATATCGAAATATTTTACGATGGTCAATGTCCGGAAAATATACTTCAAATGAATTTTGTTCCTCGGCTAACAACGCTATTCAATTCAAAAACTAACATGCTTATTTTTTTCTTCCTCGTCTTTCCTGCCAACCTGTTAACTTTTCACATTCTTTTATGTTGGTAGGGAAGAATTCTCTACTTGAATAAATAAAACCACTTTGTTTCTTTTTTTTAATTTGAAAATTTTTTTTTTTTTTTTTTTTGCACTTCTACAAAGAGCACTTTGCTTACTTCAAGGTTACTGGTAATTTTTACGTACCTTTTCATTTCAACTATTATTGCCCCTTTTTAAATTACTTGCCCTTCAATATTCTTTGTGTAGACAGGGCTTAAAATACTCGGTAATTCGATGGTAAAGGCAGTAAATAAAATTCGGTTTATTTCTCAATAGAAAATGTATATTTCCCAACTTACGTAATACAATAGATATCCCAATTAAAAATTTAAATCTTTTTATTCGTTAAACTTTTTTCTTTTTTTTCTACAACCATCACATAAAAACATTTTTATCTCGATTTGTCAGTCTGTGTATTTTCATTTTATCCTTGTTTGGACTTTCTCTTCCTTCTTCTTCCCCCCTCCTCCCGTCAATCTCTAATTTCATAGTTTATAATATATATATATATATATATATATATATATATCTCGCAAGTTTTTTTTTTTTTCTCTCCTCTAAGGAAGGGACATGTAACAAAATCTGTTTCTCTTTAAACAAAAACATAAATTAAGCATTTTTCAGGTTTTAAATTAATTACTGATAACCTGATTGTCTTAATTTCTCTCATGGTCATGACCCGTTTTTGATAAAAGTTAACTGCAAATTAAACCGTATTATTACTTAGTGTTATGATTATTTGAATTCAAATCATTTTTTAGAAGCAGTAACTTAATTTTTATTGTCCCATAACTTTTTTTTCTCTCCTTCGTTAGTCGGCTTGTGAAATGTCAAAGCAGCACGTTTCATTTCAAACTAATTTTAAGTTTTTAGAAAAATTGACCCAAGAAGTGAAAATTAAATTTAAATTAGGAAAAGAATAATTCTTGCGATTTTGTCTTTTACAAAGATGTTTGAGAATAATACCACAATTTGACTCAAAATGACCTTAGTTGCTAAAAGGACGTTTAAAAAGATAAATGAAAATTAAAACTTGTACGTAGGTTTGTTTTTTGGGTTTTTTTTTTTTTAAACAGAAGGCCATACCTATATAACGTTAAGTCTCAAACTTTAAATTTCTAAAATCAAGATCAAAAACGGAATAGAAACCATTATTGATACAATCCATTCTTGTCTCTGGATAGTTTTGTATCAGGAATACATACCTCGTTTTTACTTTAACCTTGCATATCATTATCATATTTTTCTGTTTTCTTTCTTGCAAACTATCTTATTCTTAATTTGTGAAGGTTTTTTTTTTTTTCTTTTCTTAGCAATTTAAAATTTTGAAAAGTTTCCTAAATTCTTTTTGCTTCAGTAAAAAGATCTTTGGGCTCCTAAAGGACTTAAGTTTGAAGTACTTGAATTGAAGCATTCAATAACACTAAGTCACTTTACATAACAAATGTTAATTTATTAACGATGGTTTCAGCAGGAAATTAAATTAAATTACTACAATAGAAGCTTAATGAGCCTGATTTCTTAACCACGTTGTTTAAAAAAAAAAAAAATAACCTAATTCCCAAAAAAGGTTATTTGCAAATTTGTTTATTCTTCTTAATGTTAGCAAATGTACCAACCAAAATAAAGTGGATAAACTAATCGATAATGTGTAAATTTTAAATACATTTTTAAAAGTATTTTTAAACTTATGAAGAGGCTATCTATATATTTATTTTTTGTATCTTTTCCTCTGGCGTGAATTTTTGAACGATCGTGAGATAACAATACACACGTTTTGTTTTGTTTGTTTTTTTAATATTTTCATGTTATCAATTGTACAGGGTGGTCCGAAATTCTTGTCACCCCTTGCTTTAAAAAAAAAAAAAGCAAGAACAAATAATACATTAAAAATACAAAGCACATGTACTGGGTTCAGTTTGGGCACATCAACGTGGTGTTAGATCAGTTACGATTGAGTAGTGAGTTGGCACCTCACTGGAAGCCCCTTACTTTCGGCCTTGTGCCACATCTAAGCCGCGCTTAGAAAATCACTATTTGCCACAATTTCTGTAAGATTTGTACTGGATTCAGCTTACTCACTCTCATTGACGCTGTTACACATCGAGAAGCCTCCCCCCCCCTCTCTTCCAAACTGTAGGAGCTCGTTGAAATCTGTAGGGGGGGGTGGCACACGACTTTTGGACCACCTTGTACAATGGAATTATTATTCCATTGTACAGTTACTATTACACGTATAATTGATATTCCAATGGAATATCGAGTATACGATTGACCTTGCATTTAACGGCATAGAAGGCCCATAAGCTTCACTGATGGATTTTAAAAGATATATACCCACACGATGGCAATAAATTCCAATGAATAGACATACTTATCCTTTACATAGATTTGGTCACTTTTAGGGATTCTTGGCCTCCTATATGTATGGATATCCCACACACACAAAAAGACTTTGTCACCTCCAACCTTAGTGGGGAGATCAAGGTACCTATCGTGTGGGAAACCAATTTTTATGAAACTGAGAAATATTAGCTGATTTGAAGTTTAATTAATCTAATTTGAATAAAAATATGTACTTGCTGTAAAAAGCCATTTTTTTGGTATTTAAACTAATGCAATTAAGTGCTTGTCAACACCTCGTAAATAACTTGATGAGGTGTTGACACTTTCCTTATTGTTCTAAGGAGACCTTGTCTGTTAAGTCAGTATTTAAATACTTTGGTGCTTCCTCTTAATAAACATTTTGACAAAACTTTAAGTTTGGGGCCTTTTTTTCAGGCTGTTTTCTCTGAAAAGTGGAGGTTCTTAATTAATGGCTGTCATTAAATAGCAAATGATTTTATGGTATTTACTGAACTTTTCTTTTTAAACAGAGGTGAGT